TTTTTCCGCATAGCTTTCAAAGCTGGCAATCTATAAAAGAAAAATTGAATAAAATTCAGATCCAAAGAATTAAGCATTTACCTGGATATATGAGGTCACAAACATTGCTACACCTAGTAGAAGATAGTATAGACAATATTTTTTCACTTCTCGATTAAATTCGTCTCTGAAAAATTGTTAGAATTCGCGAATTTGAGTGAAATTGAATTTTTCACGTACTGTGTGAGTTGCGGCAATCCATTTGGATCGCTCATATTCTCCCCAAGCACAAAATCGGAATTTTGAGCTTTAAGGAAGACCGTTGTCATTCCACCCAGTACAATACCAAGGATAGAAAATCCTGCTCCATGGATAATTGATGCTAGAGAGCCTAACACTAATAGCAAATAGTCGACAGGAGAGGCTAGGGACAACTAAAAGAAAAAGTATGAAATTTTTTGGAAGCTGAAATTTTAAGAAGTAGACTTACTATGCCTTTCTTGGTCGGCTTAGGTTTGGTGTCATCCTTGGTAACGTCAGATGTGGAGCTAAGAGTGTTATTTTGTTTTGGTAAACTTTCTATCGAATCATACACATGTTCTGCTTGAGACGCCTCCAATGTCTCCCTGTATGTGGTTTTACCTTCCAAAAGAAGAATTCCCAATATTTCTCGAATTTGAACTTTGTGTCATCTTCGCGCTGTTAATTTGGTCTCTTTATATAGAAATCCAGAAAAGTAATGATCAAAAGTATTTTTCAAATAATACTTCCTTGGCATCTATTCCCGGGTCAACCAATGTCTGCACGAATTCATTTTCTTATCGCGTTGAGTAAAAAGTATTGACAGTCTCTGAGGCTTTTATCATTCTCATAAATTGGAGTAGATGTTTTAATTTGTTCTGAGATTTTAAAAAGGATCAGGCTAAAGGCTATAATTCCAGCAACTAGAGGCGGTGCCCATGCACGACTCAGCGGCAATGTCAAATCTGTGTAATCGTGGGTTCTCAAAATAGAACTGGTTAAGAAGGAGGGCCTCAGCCAATGACAAGGCCAGTTTATGGTTTCGTGGCCACATTCACCCATACCGTAATCAGTTTTATCGAATACGTTAAAATGTAAAATATGGGCTGCAGTGCTGAATTCTTGGTTAAGATATAAGCACATGAGCTGGCACTAGGTCAATAGCTCAGGCACTGCCACACTTGTCCCGCTTGATCCGCTTCGTCATTGGTTGAAATAGTTAACTGAGCAATAGTGAAGTGGATGAAGCGGATCAAGCAAATCAAG